TCATTCATTCATTCATTCATTCAAAAAATATTTAAGCGTTTGATAACTTTATCGATTACCATCGTCATTATCGCAAACGATTTTTTTAAAAGCGTAAAATGAATTTTAAAAAAATTTGGCTCGATTTGTTTTCGGTTTCTGGACCCGAATAATAAAAATCGATAAAAAATCAATAAAAAAAAATTTTTTATTTTTTGTCGCAAATTAAATTTGTTTGATTCGTAGCAAATTTTTTGCGCTCGCGTACGAGAACGAAAAAATAAGAAAAAAATTTTTTTTTTCTTCTTTTCGTTTTCAATGTCAATGTTGGAAAAAGATGTCGACGATTTACATAACGACAACAAAAAAATAAATAATAATAATAAAATAAAATAAATAAATAAATAAAAACTCACCGATTTAAGTATAATAAAATGAAACAATAAATAAAAAAAAAAAAAAAAAATTTTTTTTTTTTTTTTTATTCATTAAAAGAAAAAAAAAAAAACGACCAAACTCTGAAAGCCGCCAGAACAAAACTGACTTCTACCTGGCACATTCGATGAAAACCACCTGGTGCCCGCGGCAAAATGTCCGCAACGGTAACACTACTACTACCATATCAACTGTTGTTCTTGATTCAGTGGCGTTTCTCCTCTCATTTTCTTAAAAAAAAGAAAGAGAGGAAAAAACAAATTCTTTTTTTTTTTTTAGTTTGATGACCCGTGAGTACTTTTGGTATACTATCATTTCTCCCCACCAAAAGAAGAGTCAAAAAGGAGAAAACAAAAAAAAAAAAAAAATAGGAAAAGATTTTTTTTTTTAATGTACCTGAGATTTAAGCGGAAATTTTTTTTTTTTTATTAATGGTGGGGAGAACGCGCGGTGGCTGCGGTTCGTTTCTTTTGACGAAATCAATTTTCTAGTAGTAAAAAAAAAAAAAAAACTTTTTTTTTCATTTTTTTTTCGATGCCATTTTTTTATTTAAAATAAATCAAAAAAAAAATTTTTTTTTTTTAAATTAATCGTCTATAACTTTTTTTTGTTTGTTTTTCGATTGATAAATTTATATCGTACCTGTATGAAAAATAAAGAGAGAGATAGAAAATAAAAAAAAGTTTCAAATTACGACTTCGAATACAAAAAAAAAAAATTTTATGCGGGTCGGACTGTTAACAAAAGTTTTTTTTAAAACAAAATTACCTTCATTTTTCTATCATCATTATTATTATACATTTAAGTAATTTTGTAGTATTTTTGTGACGTCATAAAAAGAAAAAAATATCACCCTAACAAGTGACTTAATAAATGGGGAGGAAGAAAAAAAGGAAAATTTTTGTTTTTATTAAGATAAAAAAAAAAGAAAGTCACGTGATTTTGGCATCGAAAAGGTTTTGTATTTACGTAAACTTATGTAAAAAATAATAATGATGATGATGGTAATGGAAAGAACGAAAGAAAAAAAAAATTACGGTGGTAAAATTTTTTTTCAAACACAAGTTATGACTTCGGTACTGAGATTTTCGTTAAAAATCACGAAAAAATGGTGGCAGAATGTGAGTGTGTGTGTGCGCGTGTTTGCAAGATGTGTTTTTAATATTTGACTCGAATAAGTTTAAACAACAATTTCCGGTTATTGGTAAATTTTTTCTCGTTTTAAACAATATCATTTCCGGTAAAATTAAAATTAAAAAAAAAAATTCGAAACCATTTCAACATTTTTTTTGTTGTACGAAAAACGTTACAAATTAATAAAAATGATGACCGATAATGACGTCATTATAATCTTAAATTTCTCCTCGTTATTATCATTATTATTATTATTATTTTAACACTCGCAAATAAAAAGTTTTAAATTTCTTTTTTTTTTTAATTACGCGGTCATTCGTTAACTTTTGAACTTTTTGTTATACCAAAAGGTAGAAAACAAAAAATTACTGAGTAATAATTAAAATTTGTTAGAGAACGGTAGCAAAAACTAAACTAAAGGTAAAACTTACGTAATCAACCACGTGATTTTTTTTAACACCCTTAAAAATTTGCTATACGCAATTTAATAAAACATTTTCTCAAATTTATAATTACCCTTCCTCCCCCCCCGAAAAAAAAACAAAAGAAATTATAGCGAAAATATTATACTTTTAACCGAATTACGTTTTATTATTATTATTATTATTATTAAATAACAATCGACGACAAAAAATTACTTTGGCAAACAAACAAATAAAAAAATTTATTATTATTTTATTACCCCGTAATTAATTAATTAATTATTAGCGACGATGATTTTAATCGTTGTGAATGACAGAAAATAAATTATTATTAAATAGAAGCCCCCCCTCCCCAAAAAAAAATTCGTTTGAATTATTAAATATCGCGAGGGTCAAATTCATTTTAGACAAACAAACGTTTGTAGTTTGTAGTTCAGAAAAAAATTTTTATTATTAACAAACAAACAAACAAAAAATGGATGATCGAACGGTGATACCTGTTTTTTAATTCATTCCTTTCGAACGTAACGTTTGTTTTTTTTTTTTTTTTAAACTCATAGAGGTATAAACCACAAAAACCGTAAAGGATTGAAAAAATCGTAATAATAATAATAATACGCCTTGAGGAATAAAATTACTGGAGAAATTTTTTTTTTAAGGAAAAGGGGATAAAATTTGTACGCGCAAAGGTTTAAACGCCCGCAAATTTAAAATACCTTAATCGAGTTAGAAAATTAAAAAAAAAGAAAAAAAAAATTCTCAGGTTTTTACAAAATGCAATTTACTTCACTTTTAACGTTGATTACCCTATTTCTATCTCTCTCTCTCTCACATTCATTTTTCACGCACGCGTATTTTTTTTTCTTTCTTTCTTTCTTTCTCTAATGAATGTTTCGGAGATTTTTTTTGTTTTTAGGCTTGTGTAAACATGAGTGCAAATTTCACGAGTGAGAAAGTCATTAGAAATAAAAACAAAACAACCAAAAACAACAAACGAATAACAACCGAGTCAAAAAAAAAACAAATCGTGTGTAAGATAATGATTATGATGATAATGATGATGATGATGATTTAAGAAACATTTTTTTTTCTTTCTCTCATTTCACAGCCTTCGTGAATCAGTAGTTAAATATTTGCGGCACGTCTGAACTTTTAATTAAACTCCTCTGTTGGTTGGCCAAAAAAAAAAAAAATAATAATATTAATAATAATTTTTTTTTCTTCTTCTTCGACGTGATTTATTATTATTATTATTATTACGCATTCGTAAAATTTTTTGTTGAACTTTTTAATTCATCCGATTGATTTTACTTATTGTTAAAAAGTTCATCCGAGTATTCTGGTGGTGGTACCACCAGTAATTTTTTTTTTGTTTGTTTGTACGTCATTTTAAAAAAAAATCAAGCGTGAGATGAGTAAAACAATTCAAAAAAAAAATCAAATGGTGAAATGAATAGAGTTATAAATCATCGAAATTAATCAATCAATCAATCAATCATTCCCTTATAATTTTATTATGTCTTAACTTTTTTGTTTTTTTTTTTTTTTGATTGAATGAAGGAAAAATTATGAAAATCGTCAAAGTGTTTCCATTTTTTTAAATTTTAATTTTAAATTCACGTTTTAAAATTTTTATTCATTTATTATTATTATTATTTTGAATATAAACGATGATGATGATGATGATGATGATTACCCGTGATAGTGACCTTTCGAGAGGGGTCAAATTAATTTTAGAGTATTTAAAAATGACCGAAATTTTGGAAATTTTTTTTTGATACAAAAAAACGTTATTATTATTATTATTATTATTATTTTTTATTTATTCGAATATGTTCAGCGATCGTTTAGCCAAATGTTATATTAATATTAGGTAGGAAAGAGAGGTAGGAGGGAGGAGGGAAGGGGGAAAGGGAAGGAAAAGAAAGTATCATTAAATAAAAAAAAAAAAAAAAATTTGTGAAATTGTGGCTTTGATGTGTCGTTTCAAATAATTCATGCATGCGTTCTGCTTAAGTAAAAAAAAAAAAAAAATGGTAACGTAATGTTAATGATTTGTACCTGAAATAGAAGTCATAGAGTAAAAAATTTTGAAACGAAATAATACATACGAAAGCATACTCCGGAAAGAGCAGTAACATATTTACATCGTTCAGCCTTTTTTTTTAAAATAATTAATAATGTGTTTGTGTGTTTGATTGAATTTAAATTTAACCGAACGGTATTATTATTATTATTATTATTATTATTCTCGCGTTCGTTAATAACTACATAATTCAAATAATGTACTGTTAATTATGGTAATATAAATAACATGTCTGTGGGAATTCACGGTTGAAACATAACCGACGTACAACAGGTCACTGAATTTTTCCACCGAAATTTTTTTTTTAACATTGTTGAAGAATTGAAATATCTTCTGCATTTAATTAATAACGTCGTCTGCTTTTTTCGATTACGTTTAAAAAAATAAAAATGATTTTTTTGTTTATTATGCTTCGTCGTTGTTTTTTTTTTACCCTTTAAAAATTTTTTTTTTTTCATTTGGTAGCCTCGTCATTAATCACGACATCAATAAATCTTCTTTGGGGAGAGGGTAGGGGGTGGGGGTTTGTACTGTCCTTTAGCTGGAGGACAAAAACTGTAAAAGACTAGGCAAGATTAAAAAAAAAAAAAAAAAAAAACCACGAAAAGATATTTTTTTTTCTTCTTTCGGTTGGTTTAATGCACCGTCGACGACGAGCGCTGTTGGTTGAACTCGAGGGGATAAAAAGCGTGAAAAACAAAATGGCGGCATTGAAAATTTTTAATTAGTTTTAATTTTATCTTCTTCGATTGTATTTCAATAATGATTATTTATTAAGAGAGATGAGAATAAGATGGCGGATTTAATTTTTTGTGTGAGTGTTAAACAACAACAACATCATCATCATCACACGACAGGAAGTTGAATTAATCTGATACAAACTCATATTTGAAAAAAAAAAAAAAAATTATAACGATGCTAAAAAATTTAAATGTTTCTTAATGATGTCAGTCGGTTCTCTGTGCGGAGTCATGGAACGTCGACCAAGTGTGACGATAATACTTTCCATGTTTAGCTTTTTTTAGGATACCTAATGATAAACATCCATCCGAATGTATTCACGGTATGACCATATCGCAACTTTTGTCATGGTTCGTTGATAAAGTTGTAGCAAAGCTGGCCAACTCACTCAGGTGCTGCTCCCAGGTGGAAGTCCTTCGATAATAAAAAAAAACTCTTCTTCATTCACGTAACGAATAATATAACGAATGTTTAAATAAATGAATCAATAATAATAATAATAATAATAGAGTGGTATTATAAGCTTCAAGAGCTTTTTAAAATAATAATAATAATAACCACGTACGTACGTAGAATCGATTGATAACTCGCGTAAATCGATTAATTTTATTTTTATTTTTTTCTATTCGTTTCGTCCATGAGAAAATAATTTGTAATTTTTTGAAATCACGACGAATAATCATTTTTTTAAAAAACGTTAAATTTTTTTAATCGTTAACCGTTACCACCGCAACCATCACCATCACCACCACCACCACCACCACCGTTATTACCACCATCACGACTACCACTACTACTTTTACAGCTACCAATTTTTTTTTTTTTTTTATGAGTATATTTTTACAGAAAAGTTATATTTAATGATGATTTAAAAAGTAAATAATTTTTTTTTTTTTTTAATGTTTGGTAAAACAAATTTACTTCAACATAAATTATTATTATTATTATTATTATTATTATTATTATTATTATTATTATTATTATTATTATTATAAAAAAAGTCCAACATGATTTTAAAACGATTGATTATTGTATGAAAACTACTTTTAGTACTACTACTACTACTACCACAAAAGTAATTTTTTGTTTTTTTTCGGGTAAAATTTTACAAATTGAAAATAATAATGATGAAAATGATGATGATAATGATGATGATGATGTTGATGTTGATGACGATGATAATAATAATTTATTTATTTGTTTTTTTTTTGTTCGGCGGCTATTTGCATTCTTTTTACATGTAAATTTTTTTTTTTTTTTTTTTTTTTTTTTTTTTTAAGGCTTAACGTTTTATTAAATACGAGTGAAAGAAAGAGAGAGAGAGAGTGAGAGAAAATATCGTCGAAGAGTTTATTTTTTTTTATATAACTTTACAATAAATTATTTAAAATGGAAAATAGAAAAAAAAATTTTTTTTTGTTTGTGTTTGAGTGCCTTTGGGAAAAGAAAAAGTAAGACACGAAATCAGGTTTGGTCAAACCGTAAAAATCATTCAGGATTTGTTTATGTCGTTTTAAAAAAAAAAAAATAAAATAAAATTCTCGAGGGAGGAATTAACGTTTTTTTTTTTTTCTAAATGATAAACAGAAATTTTTTTTTTTTTGTTTTTTGTGTTTTAAATCCCAAGATGTCTTGGATGTCCCTGTTTTTTTTATCGTCGAACGATTTCGAACGGTTTTTTTTTTTATTTTAAATTTTTAATAAAAATAAAACAAGGCTGCGTTAAGAATCGTGTGCGTTCGTGTGTGCGCGTGTGTGTATTATTGATAAAAAAAAAAATTTTTTAATAATAATAATAATTTAAGAGTCGGATCGTCATCTGATTCCCTTTCGGATTTTTTTTAATAATCGTACAGAACAAAATGCAATTAATAAATTTAAATAATAAATAATGGAGAGTGAGTGAATGGATGGATGGATGGATGGGGCGGTAATAAAAAAAAATGGAAGTCGGTAAAAAAAAAAAAAGAGGAAGAAAAAAAATTTTTTTTTTTTTAATGGACGAGAATAAAAATTAGAGTAATGACTTTAAAAGAGCAGAAGAATACGAGGAAACGGTTTTAAAAAAATTTTTTTGAATTAAACTTGTGAGGGATTTGAACCCGTTAAAAAAAAAAATCTCATTTCTTGTTGTTGTTGTTGTTGTATGTTTAATTTTACCCGATGGTTACTACCGTGATTCCGGTGCATAAAGTAAGAGAGAAGAAGAAGAAGAAGAAGGGAAAAAAAACCAACCATTGTAATCCCACCGCAAAAAAAAAAAAAAAAAATATTTGTGAGAGCTAAAATAAAAGAAGAAAAAAAAAAAATAATAATTACGAGTAGAAA